AGGACATGGAAAAGCTTTGGCGACAAGAGGAGCAGGGCGAAAGATGCGGGTGGACTGCACTGGCTAATCATACGGATGACAGCTAGAGCGGCCCATCTCGAGCAGCATTATCGTTCATGAATATGGATGCGTCCCTAAATAATTATCATTTTTTTCGTGCTATAAAATTGACTAGATTTATAGAAAACACGTGCAATATTTGTATCTCCAAATAAATTTATTATAAAAACCATTTAACGATCTATCTAATGATATATTAATTATATACCATAAATATTAATATTTTTATATAAAATTACACAGTGTTATTTTTTAGAAAGCGAGGACGATAATTATTTAGAGGCTGAGGAGTAGTAATCAATTAGGTGCCCATGGATACCGGTTGATTTGGCCCTGTACCCTGTCTATTTTTTTCGCATGGACAATCGACAACCAACAAGAATAAATGGATCTATTGGACTCCACACAAGCAGTCCTCTTTGTAATCCCTGTGTTTCATTATATTATTACTTACCCTGCCATTGAGAATACGTTTCAGAATATTTAGTCAAAATGGGCATCTTGATTTTACTATAGATCTTAAAAACTCTCACAATATGATTACAAACATCTATCTACATTATAAAAAATACTAACTCAATTATAAAAATTCATAAAGTATCTCCTAAATTTGCATCTAAATTAGCGCATATACTACTACAAAAGATAATATAAAATAACCATCTAAATTTGTATCTAAATTATCCATATCTATTGTTTTTTGAAGGCACTTATCCATTCTGTAGTTATGAAAGACAATTTAAAACAAACCCCAAATTTTGCATATAAATTACCACCTCCATCACTATAAAGATAAATGTAAAGTAAATCCTAAGTTCGCATTCAAATTACCCACTACGTCATTATGAATGAAAGATAACACAAATTAATACCTTTAACTTGTATCAAAATTATCCACCTATGGCATTATAAAAAAAGTACATTATATACTCCATTGGAAAATAGTTCACTTTATATTGCATTAATACTCCATAACAATAATTTTTATATTTTTTTATTTTCAATAATTTTATACATTTTAACTGAAATATTATGCCATCAATACTAGTAATTTAATTTTAGGACTATGATTTCAAAACATTACTACTACACATATAACTCTTCAATATAGCTGATTCAACATCTTGAGTTTGGCGGCACAGGTTGAACTATTGTTTTGTTATTGTAGTAATTAACTATGAGTATTATCGTAGCCCTAAGACTTCTGCAACAGGCAATTGGGAGTAACATGCACCATTCCATCTTTCATTTTCAATTGCATAGGGACATCCCATACATAGTGGCACTATTTACAACACTTGGACTATTTTGCCCCTACCCTTGGAGTATGATACCTAGAATATTCCTCTACGGCCGGTCAAGGCCAAAATAGTTCTAACACATCCTAAACATACAAAGCAAAATTGGGTTTAGCTTCTGGCCCACTTCACTAAATTCATTCGCATGCATGCCATGCACCTTCACCATCATTTCCGAAGCCTCATGCGCCTTCATGGGGTGCTTCAGTGATATCTCCAATGTTGCCTCCTCCTGAAGTCCTAGCAAGCCTGTTACACAAAGGCCATGATGTGGCTTGTCCTCGAGGGTGTCCCGCTGAAGTAAATTTGCAAAGTTACCTGCTAATGGATAGATTTAACTTTCAACCAAAATGAGTGACAACGGGGCCATTCGGACCGAGTCATTTCCCCAACAACATGCCCTCATGGAGGAATTTTGTTCTTAGCAAAAGGAGTGGTGACAATTAAGATAGAAAGGTTGCATCATTTGAAATGACGTCCCCTAAAGCTCACAATTTTTTCTATGTTTGTTGTATCACCTCTTCATGATACGTGATGCATGTGTGTTAATCACATTGGAGTAGCAATGTGTGGATTCATGAATACGGTTCAAGATGACCAATATGACTTTATATATACTCTTGGATCAGTGATGTTTATTTACTCCACCTCTAGATTTTTTCATTGTTGTTACCTTTGTGAAAGTACATCTACACCCCTAGTAGGTTTGGTGGTTGAATGACAATAAAATTAAAGGACTAATGAGTTTGATGAATTTTGAATAGGTTTCATTGCAAATTATCATTGTCAAACTCATGTCATATCTCAAGTGAAGAGAAGGCAAGCAAATTGATAAAGCAAAATGAAACACATAAATGGTATGGTTGGATCTTAATAGCGGCTTACTTTGCTTGAATAAGAAGAGACCGATAGTTCATTGGTATTGATCAAGTTTCATGAATAAGTCAAGAATGCATAAGTGAAGAAATATCAAGCAAAGGTCAAATGACAAAAGAGATGAGATATAATAGATATAAGATGGTCATAATATTTGTTTGCCTATATGGACAAAGGCTTAGAAAATTACTATGCATTGATATTGATCAATGACAAGCCTATGTGAAGAATGAAAACAAGAGACATGGTGTGATACATAACAATTGATTTTATACATGAAGCTTGTTCGTATCGTGGATCGTTGAAATTGGGATTTCAAGATTAATCAAGAAGGAATGCATTATAAAAGATCAAAGAATGAGACACAAGTGATTGCATATTGATTAGTCTCACATGAAGGGATTTCCATATCAAATCAAGAATGATGACATGGGACTTCATACTGATTAAAGAGAATATGTCTAATTGCTTGACACTCTAATCATGTTCATATCTAAGGAGGAAGAAAATTGATCAAGGTCATTGAAGCTTGATTGATCTCAAGATGTATATCAATGAAGATATTCAAGCAAGGATTAAAATACTAATGAAATACAACTATAGTTTTCATTTCGCAGCACGATTTTCACGTCCGTTTTCTCAAAAAACAGCGGTGATAGTTTTTCACTGTCGGCTCAAAGGCCAAAGGGCGTAGTGGGGCGGAAAATCGGCGGTGAAAACTATTTTTACTACTGGGTTGGTGGATGATCCGGTAGTTAAAACCATGGTGGTAACATTGGTTATTGCCAGCCACTTTTTACAAATGATGGCAGTGATGAAGTTTCTACAGTAGTGAAATGGATTTTTCAAATATATGCTTAATGTTGATTCAAGTAAAAGGTTGACTCAAGGATGGCTCGATATGGTGAATGTAGCAAGGAAAGGGTTTTGAGAAACTAAGCAAAGGAAAAGGACAAGTGACTGTGCTTGGCGGCATACCGAATACCGAATACCGAGGAATACCCTTAGAACCTGGATGTGGTGATTGTAAAGCCTATGTTTGTAGCAGTAATAGTACAGTACAAGGGCATTTTGTGTACTTCCTTGGTTCAAAAAAAATGCAATTCTAAGACAAGCACAAAAACCAATGCTATTGACAAATTATAGAAATACCCCTACTCTGTTACGCTGACACTCTAATGGCCGGCATGCTGCTGTATGCAGTCAGACTTTCAACCAGCACCACACACGCGTAAGGCAGCACTAGCAAAACTCGTGACCAGGACATACTTGAACGTTCTGGAGACGCTGCACCAAACCCCGGCACGATGGCCCACCACCTGATGTATTGTACGACCTAGTACCTATGAGCACCGGATTGCGTTTTGTTTGGACAAATTTTGAACTCATGGACTGCGTTGTTTTGGAAGGAGGGAGTAGTGTTAATTCTAGTTGATGCATTCTCAAAACAAAGCTTAGCTTTATTTTCTGTTTGAAAAGTAAGCGTGACTATGCGAGAGAAAAATTCGTTTATGTATATTTAATTAATTAATTAGTTATCTAATTAATTAATTAATTAATTAAGAGTAGCGGTTGTGGGGGAAGATATAATTGCTTGGATTCACTACTCTACTGTCTACGTCGTCTATGATGCGGATCTCCATAGCATAGCCTTTAGCTATCCACTGAGCACACCTCTATTTTTTTTTGTCGTATACAGTCGTACGGAAAAGCTTATTCTCCTCGGCCATATCGTACGGAAAAGCTTATTCTCCTCGGCCATAGTCACAAGTAGGCCAAACCACTGATAAGTCCTACCACTCCTACTTTATTATTTATTAACTCAACCCGTGTGTTCTGTGTATACATGCCAGTGTTGACAACCAAAAGTGGTCAAAGCTTATAATGGACTCCACCATTATGTTTCTATCGTTAAGATGGTCAGAAAACATATTTGGATCATCTTATTTGGAGCCCAGACAAAAAAACGGCGATTCAGGAGTTCTGCCCAGCCGAAACTGGCCAGGCCTGTTCCCAAACCGGCCTGGTTTGGCTAAGTTCTTCAAATGCAAGATTAGACAATACCATTGCGTTCCTCTTGTCGAGCTGATCGGAAAACATATATGGTTCGTCCCGTTCATAATCTGAACGAATTAATTATGATTTTCAGAAGGTATCCTGCTGGGCCGGTGCTAGGCCGATTTGGCTGCAACAGAACCAGCCAAGTCGGTTCTAGAACCAGCTAAGCTGGTTTGCCTATGCAAGTCTGAATCAAAACACTGTTCAAATTGATTTTTGGACGTGTTTTCGCATAGGGAACTTGAAGATCATGATCTGGAAGTGTTTTCTATTGAGATAAGACCACCCTCTCTATATATACGAGAGGATCACGGCCGATTAAAGGATCCAACACTCAATCAATAAAAAATACATCTACCTCCTAGTTTTACCCTTTTCCAACCCTCCTGTTGTTTGTTGCATCTCTCCACGAGATTCATCGGCGTTCGAGGCGGCCATGCTGGTCCTAGAACAACCCTAGACGTGCTCCTCCCCAACGGGTCCTCCCAGAAGGCGTTCCTAGACTTTTGCGGCATTGGACGAACTCTAGATCGGTCTAACCATTCTCTAGATCGGTTTAGTCGTTCTTCGAGTCGCTTACTGCGTGGTTCAGGTTGTTTGCAACCTAGGGCAAGCTAGCCCTTGCTGGTGTTTGGCTTAGATCACAATCTAATGTCAACACACTTTTTGACGACTCTGCTGGGGAAGAGATCAAATCAGGAGACCAAGATGCCGGAAAATCAAGACAAGAACGAAGGTGATCTCACCGATGCATCCAATGAGAGCAACATAGTCTGTCCTACTACTCTTGATCAACTACCAGAAGTGCTTCACAAGGAAGTGGAGGCAGCAAACGCTGCTAATGTGGCACATGCATTAGCAGCTTGCTCGTTCAAGACCCGTTCAAGCAAGGTGGCTGATCTAGACAAGCTTGTCAACTTTAGAATCGCCACCTTGTATGGAACCTCCACTTCTGCGCCTAAGGTACTATCAATGGCAAAAAGCGACGGGGAGCCGGCGACACGCAGAAAGTCGAGAGAAACAGCGCGGAGCAGATCCCGAGCTCTCTCCGAGCTTAAGGCGGACACTAGACCAGATGGTCATGACCGAGGGCGTGCCAGTCAATTTGACCTGTAATTGACAAGGAGAGAAAATCGATAAGTAATTTAAGGTGGAACATGCCGGTGTTTGTCCAAACAGTTCCAAATATGCGGCTAAGTAGCCGATGAGACAAGGATATCGAGTCGATATCCAGCATATTCACGATCTTCTAACGGTTTTCAGTTCTGACGGTGCAACTAGAAGCCATTCAGTTGGCGGCAGGCAACACCCACTACACCACAACACCATATCACTGTCAGACATCTGACGCTAAAACTTTTTTTATCGATGGATGATCTGACGCTAAAGATAGCTCATAGACAATCTCACGCTAATTCTCTATTTAGAGATTAACTGTCTGTCGCTATAGATAATCATCTTTAACGTCGAACTATCTATCACTGAAAACAGGTATAGCATCAATCCGTCTGTCGCTAAAAAAAGGGCCCACCTTGCTCATGCGCCCACTTACATTGAGCTCGTGCGCCCACTTGCATTTGGCATTGGCGCCCAGTTTTCAACTTTGGTGCCTGTCTTTAGGAATAGAAAAGGCAGTGAAAAAAATAAAAAACACAAAACCACCTAGACCTAAATCCTCCATACGCAGCCAACACCCCACCCCATCGCAGCAGTACACGCCGCCCACGCTCGCACGAGACAGGTCCAGCGCCCGCCGCCCGCTGCCGCTGCCCAAGTCCGCCGTCCCCCCGCCCGACGCGCCGCCTGCCCCATATCTGCCATCGCCTAGCCCCTCCAGCGTATGGCACCCCAAACGTGGCCTGTCCTGGTGAGCGGCCCCTCCCGGCTCATCGTGCCGCTGGCCACCGCTTGCCCCAGATCCAGTGCCGGCGTCGCCTCTCCTGCGCACAGTGTCTTGGAAGCGGCCAGTGCCGGCAAGTGGGCCCACTTTTCAAGCTGGCAATGGTGGATCTAGAGGAGCCCGCCACCACACCCCTTCCATGTCCGTCACTACCCATTCACCGGCCCTCCACCTCCTCTGGGCCGATCGGACTGGAAGAAGGGGAGGAGAGCCACGAGGGAAGACCACCTGCGCGGGCGGGACGGCGGCGCACGGGCGCCAGTGAGCCCCCGCAGGTGGCCATTGACGCGGCTGCCACCCCCGACGTGGCTTCCTCCCACCGGTCCACGTGCGCTCCTAGGCTCGATGAAACATCGAAACCCTAGGTTCCTGTGTTTGACGCCTCCGTCTACGCGCGCGTGGCCTCTTCCTCGGCGGATTGGCTTGGCGGCCAGATCTGGAGGTACCTCACCCTCTTCTTCTCTGTCTCATGGCTCGTCACCTAGATCCGTCCTCCGTCTCATGGCACCTCACCCAGATCCTCCCTCCCTCCATCTTCCCCTTTGTGCAGTGCAGGACAGCTAAGGCTGAGGCACCGACCAACCAGGGAGGCAACAGTAAACGAGCAAGCTACAACGGCAAGCACCAAGTACCTCAAATTTTAAATGCAGGAAGTAAGTACCGATGAATAACTATGGTATTATTCTGATTTTTAGAAGACAACCATGGTCTAAATGGTTTTTCCTATACTCTCATCATTCTTCTAGAAATATATTTTCCATATTTAATTAGCTATGTATGTTTATACCTCTTATAGCTTAGCAAAATAGTATAGTGGTGGTGCATGCTATATTTATCCCAAATATTTCAAATATGTACCATCCCGACCTCCGTAAATATATTAGGTTCTCTGTCTTTTGGATTGGGACAGACAGAGTACTTGAGAGCCTTGTCATATGTGGTTCTCAGCCTACCACCATGTATGAACTTTTATTTAGCCTTGCCAACTGTTGTGGGCTCTCACTAATGAATATTTTTTTCATATATATAGCTGTTGTCATATGTATGAACTTCTATTTAGCTTTGTCAACTGATGTGAGCACTGACCATAACTATTTGTTGTCCCATTTCTTCTACTAACCATGACAAAAAGAGATGCATTCATATAGCGAAGGGATATTGCTGCATTAATTTATTTTTTCTACTTGTTCCACTTTCAGTAGAGAAGTTTTTAAGTGATTTGTAAGGAGCTACACATATCACTATGCAACCATTGTCTCCATTTGAGAAAAGAAAGATATGCCGATTGAATGACCCACCTCTATCATCTTATGCCATCAATCTCTTTTCGTATACTACTATGAAAAAAGAGATATCCTTTTACATTTAGTACCATGTTGTACTCTGCTTTGGAGACATTATTGCTGGAAGAGGAACAGATGACGGTGTATTACATGGACCTCTTGCATACCATGGCATCATCATACAGAAATCCATGTATATAATCTCTCATACGCTTGTTGTGTTTCCTTATTTGAACTAATAGTATATATAAGCATATGGCCATACTGTTTCTTTTCCATCTTTAAGAAATGTCAAATAGGAACTTCTGCATGAAAAAAAATCTTCATTGGTAACTTTCATGGCTGATGGTTGCTGGGATATTTCCATTTTTTCATATCAAGTTCAATTACTTATTCTAGCACCATTTTGTTCATAGGTGGTGGAAGCGGCCATGAACCTGCCCATGCTGGATTTGTTGGGCCAGGGATGTTGACCGCTGCTGTTTCTAGAGATGTTTTCGCTTCTCCACCTGTTGATTCTATTTTAGCTGTATGTTTCTTTTTTAGTAAAACAATGTCTAGCTTCTTAAGTAGCATAAATCATCTTAGCTGACATTTAACTGCATCTTCTCACTGTAGGCTATTCGAGCTGTAACTGGTCCCCTGGGGTGCCTTCTAATAGTAAAGGTACTCTTACTGTGATATCAGCTTTAAAATGTCAAATCATGAGATAAGAGGGATCTTTTAGTACACTTGAGGATTGTGCAATATGAGTATCTGATGCTTTGGGACCGTACATTGTTTATTTATTACCACATCAATAACTACCATTTCCTCCACCTATCGTCCCATGTTCATGCATGAATGGATAGAGAGGAGGGATAACATTTGCTTTTCTGAAATTTGCTTGGGACATATCAATTTTTAGTTCAATAAGAAGTCTGTGGTACATCTGTATTTGCTTTGAAAGGGGCCAAACTGTGGGCTGTTTTGGATAAATGTGTATGCTTGATGTAGGGATACTGGTACTTTTCTCCATTATACTTTTCTCGATTATTTTTAAACTGCAGTGCTCCATTTTGTTCAATTTTATAAGTGTAAATTGTGAAGCATTGCACTGCTCTCATCTTACTAAGCTTCATTTCTTCTTACCTTCAATTGCCAAACATTTGCAGAACTACACTGGTGATAGACTGAATTTTGGATTAGCTGCTGAGCAGGCAAAATCTGAAGGCTATAAGATGGAGGTTGAAAAACACATATTACTTTGTTGTGTGGCAGGTCATATTAATTTTAATGACTATGTATCATTTATCCTCCAATTGTAGATTGTCATTGTTGGAGATGATTGTGCCCTTCCCCCACCTAGAGGGATAGCTGGTAGAAGAGGTTTAGCTGGAACAATTCTTGTGCATAAGGTATTTTGTTGTTGCCATTGTATTTTCTATCCTAGATTTTCCTCTTAGGCTCATCCCCAGTTACTGGCATGTTACATTCTTTCACTCAGCCAAGTTGACCTGCAAAAATCTCTTTAACACTCATCTGATCTGCTTTTTCATGCAAGGAGCCTTTTCCCTCTAATTTAAGTATTTAACTATTCACGATGCTCATCTAAAATAATGGGAGTGCCTTTTTAAGTAAGCTGATGTGCTATCTGCATGAACACTAAACACTTTTTCTCGAACACGCAGGAGAGCTGCGTATCATTATATTAAGATGAACACTAAAAACTAACCAATAGTGATCTTAACTGGAATCAAAGATATACTGCTTGTTCATGAAACACACGTTTCTAATCTAAGCCAGCACCCTGCACCCTGTACATCAAATATAGTGACTAAACCTTGTACAGTTAGGTGCTAGACTTGGAATGGGGAAACAGTAAGTAATAATTAGTTTTTCAATAATCTTGACTTTTGGCATATAAGATCCTTTCTGTTGGAAGAAATTCTGGCATTGTATTGCATGGATTTCAAACTTGAAGCAGCCAATGATTTCTTGTAAAATTTCTTCTCGCACTCTAATGTCTAATTTTAAGTTTGTTTAATCCATAAGTTGCTGGGGCTGCAGCAGATGCTGGTTTATCTCTTGTAGTGGTTGCTGCAGAAGCCATGGTCAACTTGATATGGCTGGTCAGTTTTTTGCGTGATTCCTTGAAATGATGATGTGGATGAGCTTTGTCATCTCTAAATTCAGTTAACATGATTTTACCAAACCTTGTAAGTCATTCACTGGTCAAGATAACTGCTTTGCTCCAACCGTCACGCTCACAAACGAAAATGTTTTATATATTGTTCATAATCATCTGATATACGAGCAGTTGACTTAAGTGGAATTGTTTATCTAATCACAATGCATATGTCAGCATTTTACGTTGACTCAGCTTCCTAAGTAACCAGGCAGGCAGGCAATATTGTTTCAAACTCTTTCCCTTTGTAGGATTATCTATTACCATTATGAAGTCCGATGATAGCATTTTTAAGAGACTTGATGCTCCCACTAAAGCTCCAGCTTGGCCTGTTGGTTCTTAAGGTGAGTTAATTTGGCCTGCTCCCACTGAAGCTATGTATCTAGAAAAGCCAGAATGACTTATTATTTGGAACGGAGGGAGTGCCTTTAGCTAGTGTTCTCTAACATTGCTCTGAAGCGCTCTAAAAGGTGCTAGGTGTTCGGTGGGCTCCATGTCTAGTGAATAATCAGTGCTAAGCGGGTGAAGGCTAGGTGGGTGGGTGGGATGGTCACATTTTAGAACAATGTTGTAGTCAGTTTATTTTTGGTGTATAAATTGGACCTATACTGTTATCTTCCTTTCATTATTTTCCCCTTCTACCATCATCTCACTTGCCACACATTTCCTTTTCTTAGTACATACTAAAGACTTGCTTACGATCTGTGTTGTGCGAACATTGATTCAAGGCTGTAACAAGTGTAGGTAGTTCAGATAAATGGGAATTTATTGAGACACATAGACTGCTATGAAAACTTCCAAATCATGTTTTCAGCATGGGGGAAAATATTTTAAGCTTTATTAGAACCTTTCAATTATGAATCAATTTTCTAAACTTAGTGTTGATCACTTGACTGTAGGAAACCGTCCACCAGCAAAGTTTCCTGTTCCTCTACCACCATCACCTTCAATTAAGGATGACGAGGTAAAACAAATTCCCTATTTGGATTTTTGCGATCTGTTTTCTGAGGCCGTCAGTTCACCTGTGATCTAATGTGGAAGCATGCAAGAAGTGCAAGTAGCTGTTTGCTGGTTCTGTAAGGATTATGGGTGTAATTTTTTATTTCAAGCTGTTATGTGATATTGCTTCGTCTCAGTTTCTCAATGCCAGATCCAGAGAATGGGAAAACCGTGGGCTCTGTTATCATTGTCCCTTTTCACAGAACTTTCAAGACTGTTCTGCATTTTTTTTTGTCTTTTATCACACTGGCATATGCATTTGCAGTCCCTCAGTTATCATGATTTGTTATTCTTCTGCAGATTTTTGCTCCATCTCAGGAGCTGAGCAAGCAAGGGTGTATCCTGGAGGCTGCTATTGAAGCAAGTGCTACTGCAATTATCAATCTCAAGGATAGCCTAAATGAATGGGACAGTAAAGTGGGCGATGGTGACTGTGGAACCACAGTGAGTTAAATTGTGTTTACCAATTCAATTCAATGCTTATTTGACTACTGCTATTTTAGGATTGAGAAATTCACTGCTGTTCTTCTTCAGATGTGTAGAGGTGCAACAACTATTCTTGAAGATATGAAAAAGCGGTAAGTTAAAAGCACTACAAATCATTGGCAAGAAGTTTTTTATTCTTGAAATGTAGATTAGAAATATGATAATTGTGCTGCTGACATGTGATAAAAAGACGATATATGAACACCCACCTGGTTTTACTAGCTTTAGTATATAACGTTGGTTCCTGTCCAGTGGAAATCATATACATGATGCTGATGATTCTCATTAGTTGTATCACTGTATCACACTTCATTTCCAGCCAGCGTCTTTTTCTGTATCATTTTCCTAATATTATAATCGGGTTAGCTAATTTTATGATATAATTCGTTTTTTTCATGTAAAATATGACCAAAATTTAGTGCATTTTTTCTCTATTCCAGTTACCCTATGGATGATGCAGCTGGAACAATAAATGAAATTGGGGCAACAATCCGAAGGGTGATGGGTGGAACAAGTGGAATCTTGTATGATAATTTGTGCTTTCCGAAGGATGTTCTTATTGTCTCTAGAGGAAATAGATGACATGGTGAGCTTATCTATGTGAGTTGTTGTAAAGTTTTGGTCAAATTTGTGAAGATGCATGTATGTTTGTTGAAGTTGAATCTTAGTTGTGTAGTGACATTTGTATTATTGTGGACAATTGTTGATGGATTAATTTGTATTTTTTAACCATTTAAAATTGTCTCGTTGGACTGTTTGTCGCTAAACCCATATGTACCATTGCACAGTCCGTCGCTAAAAAGTAGCAATGGGCTATATGTCGCTAAAAAGTAGCAATGGAGTATATGTCGCTATAAATATTCAGGGCAGCAAACTGTCTGTCGCTAAAAGTACTGTCTGACGCTAAAGATTTTTAGCGACAGGACCTACAACGTCTACAAAAGTCTGTCGCTATAACTTTTTAGCGTCAGATTGTCTGTCACTGTAGCCGCTTTTAGCGTCAGACCATCCATCGCTAATCTTGGTGTTGTGGTGTAGTGACCTCCAGTGCCCAGAACACACGGTGCGACACTCTGGAGGTTCGCCTCCAAGATGGTCCTATGCATGCCAGGAAGGTGGCCCTTCATGGCGTCCGCTGCTGTGCTGTCGTCGCCCTAGCAACAGCCCAGTTACGCTCGGGGCACGACCTCCGTTTGGTAGAGCCTAGCTTCCCGGAGGAGGAGAACCCCGAAGACTACTAGGACCTGGCGGATGACTTCGAGGGGGCCAACACCACCGTGGAGAACATAACCTCGGCCGAAGAAGTCAAGAACAACATCTTCCTCGGCCCTTAGTTTGTAACTAGGGGTTATGTTTGTGAATAAATAAAATCTGTCCCTCGTACTTTTGGCTCTCAGCGTCCTTTTTCATTGTCATCAATTCCCTTTAGAGATAGCCTCTGGGTCAATAACTTGAAGTATCCATCAAAGAACTCAAACTTAGGTCCCTTGGTTGATCCAAGAACAGCCGATCAGATCGAATCGACTATCCTCCTGGGGTCGGATCGTCCAGGGTTAAGTGTAAAATGAAAACCGCATCGAGCAACTTTCCTCTAAAACCTATGGTCCAGATCTTGAGAGACAATATGGTTGTAGAGACTGACGTTATTCACTTAGATGCTTCAAACACAACTCGAACGGTTTGCAAACCCTTGTCCCTGATCTTGTGGTATTAGGTGTCAATATTTACCCGACGCACTTCTCTATCTTGTATAAATCTCCTTGTTGTTTAGCGATCAACTTCCGACAATTCTTCTCAGACTTCAAAATTGGCTTCTCGCAAGCGTCCTTAACCAATCAATCCTTAAAGCCAATCCCTAAGCTCGGATGGCAACACAAAACTACAGCGAACGAACTTTTTCAAATCCATAGTTCGGAAATGAATGAAAATGTAGAATCCTAATGGCAACTCTATACGTTCAACAGTTGCCTTCTCATTCGACCACATGTGGCCTCCTCGGTTGTTGGAATGGCCCTTCGTATTCCATTAACTGCTCTTTATTTTGACACGGCTCGGTAAACCTACCCGGGCCAACCTTGGTTATAAATGTATGCTCCTAGGGGACAGCCGAGAGGTCACATCCGCACTCATCCCCGCTCTTGCTACTGCACATCCTCTTCTTCCTCTTCCTCAAACCAAAAATTCTTAGTCAAGAACAATGGAGGACGGCAAGCGTCCTGCCGGCGACATTCCAAAGGAGGATCTCCCTCCGCACCAACGCCTTCGCATCCTAGGTTACACTAGAATTGCATTCCTAACTCTTTGATAATCATCTGATCCTGGTGATTTTGTTTTGCAAGAACATCACCCGGGCCATCGTCCAAAATATAAGGAGGCACCAACGACTTCTTCCATTGATTCCACGGACTCATACAATGGAGATGACACCTGGTGTTATCTTTATGAACGGGACAAGGCACTAGGTCGCCATTGGGAGGTGACCCAAGAAACCGAGTGTCTAGAGGACGCCTTGGCTGCCTCCCAAACTGCTCTTGCCACCATGGAGGGGAGAGTAGCGCCGCTCGAGCGCGGTTAGCAGATTTTGATGTCAGGGTTGCGGGTAGGACTCTCAGAAGAAACCCCACCCTTTCACAATCTTTGTTCTATCATGTTCTTCTTGATGACTCTTTCTCTTTTCATTTCAGCCCTGACAGAGGAATTGGAGGCCCTCCAACTAGCGGCGAACAATGCTGCTAGGGCCTTGAATGTCCGGGGTGATCTGGTGGTGAATCGCCTCTAGGACATCCCTATGCGCGCCGGGGAGATCACCCTCCATGGCATCTGCCATGGGGCCACGGTGGCCCTGATGACTGCCTAGGTGAACTCTGGGCATGAACTCTGGTGGCTCTAGCCCAGCTTCGCCAGCGAAGATGACCATCATGCACTGGTGGAGGCCTTCGCTGGGCACGCAGATGCTTGTTTAGCCAAAGGAATTGTAAACAAAGTTTCTTCGGCCAGCAATTTGTATCTAGGGATCGAACTATGAATAAAACAACTGACTTCCCAGATGTTGATCTCATGTCTATCTCTATGAATGATATTGATGTTTTCCATATATGACTTGTATTTTTTGTTTTCTTTTTGCACTATAGGCGATGCGTACGGCACCGGCTTTCACCTTCTTAGGCTGAATTAGGATTTTCAATTTTTTGTTCTAAAGGCGATACTCTGTTAGTATCGGCTATCAATCTTGTTGATGATCCAAAATCGATTAAACTTGAATAATAACCTTAACCACCAGGGTCAAAGTCCCATATCGAGCGATGTTTCTGAAGATAGCTGATGATGATTCAAGTATTAAACCAAAAATCACTGGATGCCAAGCTTCTTAAAAATGTGCACTATTACATCTAAATTTGACTCCTCAAAATAGAACAGCTATATTCTGGCAAACTAGTCTACGAGAGCAATTTTTAGTCGTTCCATAACAACCAACTAGGGGAGTCATCAGAATAAACTCTCAGAGTTGTTTGCTTGGATCGGCTGTTGACGTTCATCATAGATCTTGATAATGCCTCCTTCCCAGATTTTGCCAGAGAAGCATTCACAATCTTCAAATTCCCAATATGCTGGATTGGCTATTGCCACGCTTACAGATGTGTCAGCCGAAACCACTTCAACGTTATCTCCTTGCCACTAGATGAGACATGGGTGCATTGTCGATGGAATGCAACAGTTGGCGTGGATCCAGTCACGTCCCAAGAGCAGACTGTATGTCCCATTGCCATCGATGACAAAGAAAGTAGTAGGTAGAGTCTTGCTCCCAATCATCAATTCAACGCTGACAACCCCCCCCCCCATGTCTTAGATGTGTTACCACCGAAGTCTTTCAACATCATATCGGTCTCAAGCAAATCTTCTGGGCCCTTCCCAAGCTTATGGAAGGTAGTGTATGGCATAAGATTGACTACAGTGCCTCCATCGACTAACATCTTAGTCATCGACTTTCCATCGACAAATCCTTTCATGTATAAAGCCTTCAAGTGCCGATGCTAAGATGGTTTGTCAAATATAGCTTATTAGGATTGGAGGGTCAACTGAGCCACTGCTTCTCCCAATTCTTCTTCATCATAGTCTTCTCCATAGGATTCTTCTTGATTATACTTGGAAGGAGCTCTAAATTCTATAGGTAGGATGAAGACCATATCAATATTAGCCGATGGTTTACACTTGTCAGCTGTTTGTTTGACGTGCCACGTCTGAGGTCTGTTATACTTCTGAGCTTCCAACTCTCTGTTCCTCAAGCGTGAAACTCTTCTCTTTTGGCTCCTTGTTAGACCTCTTGGAGACCATTGGCCCTCTTGCCAAACATACTCTTTCTCTCCATCACGACTGGCCCAATTCTGATCATGCACACATTTGCCTAACCGATCATGAACTCCTTTATTTTTTATGCATCGATCCATGTCATTGGATTGATAACTCAAATTTTCATGGATGGACTGGCGGCTGGTTTGAGATTGCCTGAACTCTGCAAATTGATCACTGCACTCTAGGCAGTTACGTCTTGTATTCAATTTCAAACCTTCGTTCTAGCAGTGTCAGAAGAAAGGACAATTCCAGTGTAACTATGCCTGTTTTCTTTCATACCGTTCTTCCTCGCATTGACACTTATATTCTTCTTCTTCAAGCCAGCGCTGGTAGTCCTTCTCCTTCTAGCATTGCCACTTGTTCAATAAGATCCTAGAAGTCACACGAGGACGCATAGCACCAGCTCTGGATGTCTCACCTTGTCATCGACTCTTTTGTTGATCGCACTGTTTCTTAGCTTTTTCATACTCATTAACCGATATTTGAACCTTGTGGTCAACCGACCTATCTTCTCTGGCCTTAGCTGACGTCAAGACCTTCGTCTTTACTTTAGCTAACTAGAACTCTACCATGTGCACCCCTGGGAAAGGATGCTTATCTATGTCCATCGTCGGTTTCTTCGTCTTCTGAATGTGAAAATGGAAGATTCTGCACTCATTGGTACTATAATTAGTACCATTGTGGTACTTGCAGTACTTCTTCCCTTTAAGTTCTTCAGCCGAAGGGATCACATGATTTGCAGGTAA